GGTCGTCAGGGGCCGATTCAATATCGTCACTCCATATCAGTTTTTCACGGATTAACACACAGGATTGATGTTTTCGCCCAGGCTCCCCGGGTCGGGTTTATTCTTGCCGTTCTGTGGCTTCCGCGCTTTTCACGTTCATTTCAGAGTGTGATTTGTTGCTAAAGCGTCCGTTCCTGAGGCGTNAATAACCTTCAAGTACTCTCGCTTTTCGTGTCCATCACACTTCACGGTCGGGTCACACGCTGACTTTCAACTGACGTCCGCTAATTCCTCAGGCCAGGTTATGTTCGGGACCGATGTGGGATATTTCTCCGAGGCCTAAGAAGTTCCACTGTTCGGTCTGATATTCACTGCTTGATTGGGCCTGATATTACCGTGCCATAGGCAAAACTCCCAGCACTGTGCAAAGGGGTGGCGATCTCGTTCCAATATGAATTCACATCTGATGGTGGAACATTTGGAAGAGACTCTGGAAAACGGTTCTGGTAAATTGGTCCGGATGTCATTCAGTTAACGGGCGATTTATCCGCACTTTACGCGGCCCTGGAAAGTGAAGAGAGGAGTGACTCCGGACAAGGCCTGGTCGGACTCCACAAGTTTGTTCCAAAACGACAGGCAGTCAGCTATTGATCCACGCCATCAGTAACTGATGGTGATGTGATCATTTCGAGTTTGCAGCCAGCAAGGTGTTGGATGGCACCATCGCCTGAGGATTTCGGCTGCTCCGGAGATTGGTGAACGCCCAGTCAGGTAGACTAAGCATTGCTGAGGCCCGATTGGGTGGTCGTCTTTGTTTGGACACGAGACGCACGGACAACGGAGACCGCTTGCTCCAGATGTGCGCCGATCATAGACTGTTTCTTTGCTGAACGAATTTCCGGAACAGCGAAAATCAGTTGACAGCGTGGTGCTTACCAACAAACCAGCGCCAAATCCAAATAAACCACATTCAGTTCAGTTATCGGTGGAGGGTCGATCACGCCCACCGCTCCTTCTGGAACACCAGCGTGGACCCCGACCATGCACTTGTAGGCTTTTCCATTGTGCCACCAGGAAAAGATATCCAAAGCGCCAAACAAAGCCGGAATTTCTGTTTGCGGTACAACCCAGCGAATCTCATCCAAGCATTGGATCTCTGATAGGACAATGTCTTTGCCCCGGCAACAGGATATCCAAAGCGCTACTCAAAGCCGGAATTTCTGTTTGCGGTACAACCCAGCGAATCTCATCCAAGCATTGGATCTCTGATAGGACAATGTCTTTGCTGGACCCGGCAACAGATCCCTCCTGGCCGCCACCACAACTCCACCCGACTTATCATTCGACGACAGGTGAAACTAAGTGTCTGTGCAGACCAAGAAACTTGGTGGATCCGAAATGCCTAAGAAAAGGAGGGTGCAAAGAATGCTGGAAACATCCGCAAGCTGTTCCACTTGATTCGCTCGACTGGTCCTCGGAAACATCTTGTCAGTGACATAGTCAGGGACCAAAATGGCTCCCTGATATACAACAAAGCAGAATGTTTGGACCACTGGGCACAGTATTTCGAACAGCAATTCAACTGGCCACCTGCTATTTCCAATTCACGATTCTGGCCTCCAACAGAAAGGCGGAACGCAAATATGGAGCCGCCTTTAGTCTGAGATTTTTCGAGTATTTCTTTACTCAAGCGTCATCGTGCTGCTCGTCCTGACGACCTTCCACCTGATCTTTCCAAGGATGGGAGTGGACTCCTCAGGCAGTGTCTGCCTAGCCTATTTGGGTATATCCGAGAGAAGGGGACCGTCCGAGACAACTGGGGAGAGTCGATAGCAGTGCCCATTTTCAAAAATGGTGCTCGCTGTGAATACAGTAACCACAGAGGTGTTAGTTTGACGCCTTTTGTGAGAAGGTTTCTGGCGTCACTGATGCTTCGTCGTCTTACGGTGGCGCGCGAAGCCTTGACTCGTGAGAATCAAGCGGGATTTCGACCGGGTAGATGCTGCGTTGACCACATCCTCACACTCCGTCAGGCGTTTAAGCAACGTCACATGTGCAGACAACCCAGAATCTTGGTATCCTTTGACTTCAGGGGTGCATTCGATTTTGTCGATCGGTCAGTGCTGTTAACTACACTTGCTCAGCAGGGTGTGCCTCAGAACCTTGTAAACATACTCCGATCCCCATATTCACATACTTCAGGGCGGGTGAGTTTATGATGAGCTCTCCAAAAGCTTCCCTACAAAACGTAATGTCAGACAAGGATGCCAACCTCTCCATTCTTGTTCAACTTCGTGATCGATGAAATAATGAGGCGAACACAGGACGGTCTTCAAAACTCGTGTTCACATTGTTGCTGGTGAGAGCCTTGTCGACCTGCAGTACGCCAATGACACGGCCCTCATCTTTGAAGACCGAAACGAAGCACAATTCCTGTCGAATAGACTGACCACCATCATACCATCTTTTGGCATGCGCCTTGCATCTTCAAAATGCAGTCATGCTTCAGAACGTGCCATCTGCGAACAAATCCCGTACAATCACTGGAGATTGTGGAAAGCTTTACATACCTCGGTAGTTGTATTAGCTCTGACGGAAGTGCGTCTGATGAAGTGAGTGCAAGAATCTCCAGGGCACGAATCACATTTGCATCACTTGTGGCGTCAGAAAGGCATCTCACTAGATCTTGAGGGTCGCGTACACCAGGCTACAGTAAGAGTTGTGTTGTATGGGTGCGAGACATGGTCTCTGCAGGTTTTCGACCACCGATGCCTCAGAAGCGCGGAAGGTTCTGGATGGCGTCAGCGTGTTTGCAACCAGTGATTAGAAAACGGGTATTTGGTTGTGCTGCAGGTACTTCAATCCGGGAAAACATCCAGCACCACCCACTACGATGGCTCGGTCATGTGCTACGCATGCCGAAACGCCGTCTACCGAGACGAGTGCAGTTCTCCATGCTTCCTTCAGGAAGGCGCAAACCGCGAGGTGGACAGCGCACGACTTGACAGAGAGGTGTGAAAGAGATCACGAAGAGTTTGGGTGTTGTTGGTGTTGTATGCTTTCCAGGATTGGAGGTATATGCACCTCGGAATGCTTGACATAGGCCAGCACTAGGTCCGCTCCCACATCCCCTCTTCTCTTCTTTTCACCTCATGGTTGTACGACAGTGAAGCATCAGTGTCAACACTGATGTTGCTGTGTTTGATTATGATGAAGTTAGTGGTTCATGAAAACGGCCTGCAGTCAGCATGTTGCTGAAGCAATCTTTTGCCATTGTCCGTAAATATTGAGTCCCATTCCTATCGGTCACCTAACTGAGTCTCAGATGCGCTAAGCCTGCCCACTGTTGCATTCATATCTCCGGCAACCACGAGCTTTTAGCTCACCGCAACAGGACATTCGGGGCGTCATAAAACCCCGCTTTTATGGTGTCAAAGAGACAGTCAGTTGGGGCGTGGGCAGATACGACAAACAGTCAACAATCCACTTTCCGCTTATCAGAATCCTTCACAACCGTTGCCAGACGAACCGCACAAAGGCGGCTAGGAACAGGTATTTAGTCAAGCAAGCATACTTCCCTCCTGGGTGACTTAAGACCATAGCAACCCCTGCACATGCTACCGCAGCAGCTTTTGGATTCCCAGAAGTTGGCAGCCGGACGTGAGTGGAGAGTGATGGGGGCGGTTAACTCAACTACTGCGCTTGCATCTTAAATTCTTGTTTCGGTACCCAGCACACACCAATGGCAAGCGAGTCCAATGTGAGAGCAACAGCAGTTTGCTGCCTTTCGTAAGAGTGCGGATGTTGAAGGCAGCCCGAAAGACCTGGCCTCGATGCCTGAAGATTGGTTTCGAAATAGCTGGGGATGTCGGAGCCGGATGACGGGTAGACGTTACTTGCAAAACCGATGCACGAGGGTGTCATCGGTGCCAATTGACGAGCTTTTATGAAGGGGATTGTTATTGGCGTGAGCAGGGTGGAAGGAAATTGTGCGAAAGAGAAGGAGGGGAGGCTTGCGCACTAGCACGATTTCGCTTACCGAACTTGCTGTATGGCAAGGCTGTTGATGAGCCACGTGGCATAAGTTTATTCGTGCGTGCAGTTCATGTTTGTACAGGGGCTGGAATACTTCCAAGGTGCCCGCACCTAGACAGGAAGATGATTATGGTCTCCAACCTCAAAAGCCTAACCACAAGGCAGTAGTGTTGGGCTGGAAATGCAAGTACATTGCCAATTTTCCAGGAGCACGTCGCCACACGTGCCCAAACCCCCAAATTGCAGGGCCAGGATAGTGTGTTCGTCAGACCTCTAACCATTGACCAACCTGGTATAAGAGACTCTGTGAGTGTCGCGGGGACACTCGCATTATGGCTCATTGGATCGCTGAGGTGCGTGGTAAGGTCCAGTCTTCCTGACGGGGTGACCTCATCCTTGACCTCCGTATCCTGATAGACCCCAACCACCCATGAAGCCAACTTTTTGCTTGTAAACACAGGAATAATCGCCCGCCCAAACGGCCATCCGCCCTTGTCTCAAGTTCTCCCTTTGAAACCGTTTGCATCAAAACACTGCATCCGAACTTAGACTGGCAACCCTCAAGAGCAACACTTTCTATCAATGCAATTTTTGATCCTCTAGTAATCCTAACATCAACATCCGTCACGAGAACATGCGGTGGTACCGAGTGAATGTAGTCCTCCTATTAGCCCAACCCATTGAACATTAGAGTAACAATAAATACTACGCACATGCGCATGTGCCGACGATGCGGGTAACGATTTACAGAATCTACGCACACAAGCCTGTAGATAATTATGCCGAAACATTTTGATTGCTTGCAATAGCACTTATGGACACTGAACTGCATTACATGATTCATGTGGGATGAAATTATTCCATATTTTGGAAAATACTCATCACAACAACAACCCGAGACGAAGGATGCGTGAAAGTGGTCGAAAACGGAAGATAGCATGCGGAACATGTATCGAATCGTATGAATATAGTACAACTCAACCTACCTAGAGGTCAACACAACATCAAATCGCCAAATTCTTCATCCTCCAGAATATTTCAACTGTGCAGACATATTAGTGCAATGTGGAAGACTAAAACAAACGCACTTCCAGGTGCAAATCAAATCGGCAGCTGGGACACAGCGTGTCATGTCCGATTCATGACACTCCTACGGTCGCAAGCTGGTTCCTAAAAGACTTTGTTTTCAGTAACGCAGAACATCCTTAGGTCGTCAGGGGCCGATTCAATATCGTCACTCCATATCAGTTTTTCACGGATTAACACACAGGATTGATGTTTTCGCCCAGGCTTCCCGGGTCGGGTTTATTCTTGCCGTTCTGTGGCTTCCGCGCTTTTCACGTTCATTTCAGAGTGTGATTTGTTGCTAAAGCGTCCGTTCCTGAAGTGTCACTTCAAAGCGCAACGCCAATTACGAGGGTAGATTTTGACATGTGCTTCGGTGTTCGTACCTCTATCACAGTTTCATTCTAGATCCCACACCAAACTGTGGCAGACTATCACTTAGATTTCTGCACTTACTCATGAGCTCGTGCCCAAATGCTGCAGGACAGGATTCCTGGTCGTCTGCGAATGAAATTCTCTGAGCAAATCACATTCGTACCGATGAAAGGGGAGGAGGCTTTGGGAAATTAATGAAAGGATGGCAAAAAGGATTATGGTAGGCCTCCATGATCTTGGTTCGCGGGTCACACGGCAACTGGGTGCGCTACATCCTCACTGTCCCACCAAATTCATTGCAAACTGAAACAGCTCCGTGTGGTCTGGGCCATAATTTTACTTTTCACGTGCCCATTCGCGCACTTGTAGAGTCCCAGTTTGGAATTTCACATGGTCGTTTGTCAGCGAAAAAGCCTGCCAGCTGCGATGACCCTTAGTGGTTTAAAAACACGGTAAAACTCATGTCAGGCTAATTCATTGGAACTGGGAAGTATGTACAAACCCCACGCCGGCCTGGATATTAAAATATTTTCGTTTTCAAGGCGGACAAAGTTTCAGATGGCCTGTTTATCAATGGAAAAGTATATATATCCAAAATGATAATAAATTTAAACGATAGGGAATGTTCAGATAGTTGAACAAACAGGAATCTATCAAAAAAAGAAGAGAGCCACGCCAGGTGTCCACTCGTTTGGTTTCACAAACACTACGAGGTTAATGTTAAGTAAGACACAACCGGCGAACCAAGGCCAATAAATACCCAGGATAAACGGACTTCAAAAGACCAAAAATTTGGGTGCGTGTTGAGGCTAGTCCCAGCTGTGCTAAACGCATCACAACACAAATTGCCATGCTGATCGACCGTTATTTTGACACCAGTTATCGAGGGGTTGACGTGTGCAACGGTAGGTACAGTGGATTTTGCTGATGATTACGGTCACAACATTATGAACAGGAGCAAGTGCCCTGTGGGAGTTCAGTGGCTGCTCACGAAGGTATTTCAACACGGAACCATCAATATTTTTGCACCCTTTTTTGGTTGAAGTGTCTTATAACTTTGGAGGAATTCCCCGGAGAATTATATAGCATTGTGTTAGCAATGATGACCAAAAATGTTTGAACTACCCTTATCAATACATAGGTTTCATCGCGAGGGCAGTCCACTGGATGCATTTCTGGCTATTAATCACAATGAAAATGAGGAGTGCTCATAGTGTTCCGAAATCAGTTACTACCAGTACCGGGTGGATGATACTCTGATGCTGAATATAAGCATGGAAAGTCTTCGTCAGAGTCTGAGTGTTGTCCATTCGGATGTTGCTGCCATACACGAACTTCTTCACTAGGAGTACTGCTGACGTACCTGTTAAGCCTAGTCTCCAGATGATACACGCAGGTCCTCGGCCTCTTCCATTGAACCGAAGAAAATGTTGTAAAAATGCTTTTTGCAAGGTTACGTGGGGTAGGTTCGCAACATCACGTTGTTGGTGGATCTGAACTACTCATAAGGACCACTTGTTTCTTCTCCGTGAACTTTGACGTGGGGATTGTGCACAGAAAACGGAACATTCGCAGTCTGATAGTTATCAAGCCGCCAGAACGAGGGAATAAATTTTCGTCGGCGTCCTGTATTTTCTTTCCAATTTTTCGGATGAAATAGGCAACGAAATGACCCTACGGCGTTTTTGGTCGAAAACGTCATTGTCACGGGCTATCAAGCAAATCCTGATTTGGCATCCACCATACTTCTCTGCCACCGGAGTGACGTAATCTTGGGTCCATGACGGTGCGGTAATAAGTTCGTCAAAATTTTTATGTATTCAGGAATATATCTGGGTCACCTCTAAGCTGCTCTGAACTAAGTGGTATCACAAGCCCTACTTGTGCAGGGTAAGCCAAGTTATTTGATCTGCAATCACGCAAAAAGACTGTTTTGAATGATAGTTCGTCACCCTCTATCCGATGAGGTAGTAGAAAATGCCTACATGTTTCAGACTTCGTGTTCTTAATATATCGTACAAACTTTTGAAGCCTAATAAAAGCTTTGTGGTCCATGACAATCAGCGTTTGCAAATACTGATATCTCACCCACTGGAGGCATATCCATTTTGAGCGGTCTCCTTAATACCCAATCATTTTCAAGAAACCGAAATGGGAAAGCGTATTTGGAATTTCAAACTTGGGCCGTTCGGAGCCCACGGAAGATGTGGTGCGACCGTAAGACGAAGGTGGCTACAGCTTTGCACGTCGATGTATGCCACCGGTGCCACAGAGTGTCTTCAGACTATCCCATTTTTGTTAGTAAAATGTTTACAGACATGATACTAGTTTTCCAACAATTTTTGTTGGCAGTGTTAATAAGTGGCACAACCAGGACAAGTCCAGCCCAGTTACTAAAACAGACGACAGTAGTGCTCTTTTTTGGATTTCCTGGATTGAAGACCGCGCTGAAAACCACCGGCGATCGTCGATGCACCCATGCAGCTAGAGGGGTGGGAGGTATACGAACGCGCAGTGGTGCGACATACAATGTACACCATCACTGCGTGCGTACCCGACCACTACACGAGGTTTTAGGCTATCGTCAATACTGCCAGATCTACAAGGTGCTTAGCCACCAAGCAATCATAATTGAGGCCTGCGCACCAACGAAGTAATTCAGCTAACAGATATTTCATGGTCGGGAGAAAGCCAGGCCGTTAAATTAGCTCAGCTGAGCAAGCAAGCGTTAGACAGCCGCTGGGAAGGGGGGTCGTGGAGAAGGCAAATGAACCGGCAGCTACTGAGAGCACTATCACCAAAAACCATTTACTTTTCGGGCTTTCGTCAACTTAACTGTCTAAAATTTGAACTTTTGAATTTTGCCCCTTTTTCCAAATGGGCCGCGCTTCTTTCCTATTAGCAAGTTCAAAATCGTGTGTGCTACCGCATTTATCGTTACTCAAGGCCCCTCACAATGTAGAAATTCGGCGATACTCCCACTATGCTCCGCCCTTGGATGAGACAGTAAAAGCTCTCCTAAGGAGGTCCGGTCTTCTTTACTCCCCTCTTCACCTGGAGTCGTAGAGCTCGCTTCATGACCAAGGGTCTGTGCGATCTTTTTCAAGTTGCATATAGATGCTGATCGTATTAGTTCAGATGCATAACACCAGCCACCGGTGGGAGAATAGGAATATCATGAAGATTTATGCAGTATGTGCACTATGGATTGACGGCGTTGGTGCGAGCTGCCATTGCGAGCAGAGATGTGGCGAACAATTGTAGAGCCATAGAAGATTTGATTGCTGCGCATTAGCGGGCACCACATTTTTGGTAGAAGAATGCGCTTTGGTAATCAGAATTCTGACTTTATTTTGGTTAATAATAAAAACAAAGCATCAGCCATTAGGCGGAGGTGATAGAGTGATCCGGGGCTAGAACACGGATAGAACAAAGCATAAGTTGTCTGGTGAAAAGCTAGGCAGTCACGCAGCTCACTCTAACAAGCTGGCATTCTGAAAGAAGGAGTGGAACCTGAATGTCATTGTGCTTGTGCGGAGATAGTTGCTAGCATTCAGCTCATTGAAAAACAGGATTTAAGCTCGGCTAAAGGAATGAGTGTTTGTGGTACAATGGGCCCGACTAGGGACGACCTCAGAAACAGGGGCCGGTCTAGTCTGCCAAGCTAACGCAACCGTATTACAAGCAGGCACACAATCAAGCAGCCCAAGTCGGATACTGCTAGGCGAGTCTGCGGTATGCTGGGATGGCGGCACAGGAGGTCGGCAGTGGTGGCTAGGTGGCACTTTGTGCCTTCTGCTGGGCGCTAGTCAATCAACAGGCTTCAGGCCAAAGTGAGGGGCAAAGTGCGTGGTTTGATTTAGGCCGCCTGTTCTTCGGTTGAATTCAAGAACCAGCCTTAGGTCATCCGCACATTCGTTCTTTTTTATTAGAAAAATGAATTAGCGCAGTAAATTCCCAACTCTACCCATCAAAGAATTGTAATCTTCGGACACATTTATTTTTATCGCCGACTCTGGCTTACTCCGATCTATTCACGTTTACCATTGGCACTCCAGGGAAGCGCTTTTTGTTTGTAATTGCTTGGAAACGCTTACAAGTTCTGTTGACGCACATTTTCACGCTTACCAGACACGTAAAAAACATAGTCATACATCTTTGGCTTATACGCCCATAGCATTTACCATACTTGCGCAGAGAGAATCAGGAATAGAAAATTGAGAATGCATGGTGGATAAACTTGTTGGCAGCAGGTGCTGATGGGAAGACTGTTTTTTGGAGCGCATCAGAGACCTAAGTGGCATTTATTCAGTGAATTTGAAAATTCAGGTTGGTCTACAACCAACTTAAATGAGGTAAGCCGTTGAATGTAAACAGAGGGCGGCCCCCAGCGCTACGGTTGGGATGAGATTCCTTATATGGCTTCGTAGTCTTCCGAACCACCGAACTAGTTTATTGGTCTATTGTGATCACCTTGGAGACTGATTGCTGACTTACTTCTTTGTTTTGTAGCATGAAGTAGTCGGTCGACAGAGGTTGCTTTATTATTAAGGCAAGTGATCAGTGAAGATGGGAAGTAACATGTGTGATGCTGCGCCTTTGA